TCATTGTTGTTTGGCGGGCCCGGGCTGGGGATTCGAACCCGCCACCTTGGGTGTACATGGCTGGTGCCTTAGCCACTTGAGCCACAGGCGCCAAGCCATACAAGAACTTTCTATGTAGTGTTTTTTTTTTAGTGAATTGCTCCTAATTTTAGAAGACAATTTTATTTTAGACAACGAATTCGCTTGGAAATAAATTTTCTTATTTCTGAGAAGTAGAAAACTGTGAGTTTCATTTATATCTTTTTTTAACCTCAATATTAATATTGAATAATTATGATGGAAAAATTAGTACTAAAGACTATACTTACTAATAAGGTTTGAAAAGTTACTTTAAAATTATTCATTAGTATTTTGAACATTTATCTATCAAAATATTGTTATCTACTAGCTAAATATTGCTTTTATCCTCCATAGTAAGTGTCCACAATCCCAAATGTTTAAGGCACAAATACACATTATTACTTTTGTGCAACAAAATTATGCTTTATCAAACTCAATAACAAAATGCCTCTTGTGCCATATCAATTAAGGCAGAACTTGAAGAAAGAGAAAATTAGGTATTTACTAAAAAATTCATTTAAATGATTGCTTTTTTCCTTCATGAAGCAAAAAAATAAGCTGACTTTTGTAGAAGAAACTGTAGAAAGGAGACAGAAGAGCATGAGCCTCTACATGTCTTGTTCTGTGGCATAAAAATTATCCTAAGCTATAAGATTCCCAAGAAAACAAACTATAATAAAGGGGAAGAGACTGAGCTTTGCTTACCATGGGCTTCCCCACCCACCTCTCCCCCCAACTTTTCCCATAAAATCTCTACTAATAAAGCATCCTTTACAAGTAGCTCCCTACAGGATCCTATCTCTCCTTGAGTGCTTACCACAATCTGATTTCTGGACAGCTGACCCAAAGTTTGTTGATTTTACTGATCTTCAGAAAGCCACTGACTGGCTAAAGTCTTATTGGTGAACACAGTCAAAATCAGATGCCCCTGCCATACTTTACAGAATGAGGAGTTGGACAACACAGTTACGTTTGGCTGCACTGTGGTGAAACATATGAGGTATCTTCTTTTTGTCTTCAATCAGCCACGTTTGGGCTGAGTAGCTCTATTACATCTTCAAAAAACTGAGCTCCAGTTCTTGATGGAGATAGAGGAAGGTCATTGAGGAGGTGGTTCAGCTCAAGAGCTAAGTGAAAAATGTCTTTTGATTCAGTCCTGCTTGTGGATAGAAGTCATCTTCTGGATGGAAGAGGGAGTGAGATGACCTAGAGTCTTGAATTGGTGGATCTGCAGGAACAGAAACTAAATACAGTGGAGACCTCTTAACTGAGAAACACCATGAGATGGATTTCCTGACAATGTGCCAACATAAGCTAAATATAAAGATTAAATATGTGCATTAGAAGTGATCATGCACCTGTTCTTCCAGATAGCAAATGCATTTGTACCACTTTATGAGTAAATGTTTTCTCAATAACTAATTATAAAACAATTTATAGAAAAAAATACCAATTTAAGGGGGAAAAAAGACCCATTCAAACAAAAACCTGCACAATCTGAGTGCCATACCCTCACTTTTAAAAGTTCTTTCAAATGACTTTTCTGTATATACACAAACTACAATCTGTCTATTCCATATAGTGTCAGTAGTAACATACATCAAATTTTAATCTGAGATGGATCTTTTAGATTTTTTCATCCCCTAGAGAAATAAAATTCAAATACACTTAAGGTACTAAATTTAGAATAATATACCTGCTTGTAAATACTAAGACTTGCATTAACTATGTTTATTCCTACTTATCAATCAAAAGAAGAGTATGTATCAAGTTAGGCAATTTTAAAATGTTGAATAGTGGCCACTTCAAATTTCCCTCAAACTGTGATCTGGAAAAAGCTTTAAAACTCCACATCCAAATTACTGTGGATCTAATTTAAATTTTCTACATATTAACATTTAATTATTTACTTCCACTCAGAATTTGAATATGTAAAGTTACTGTATATACTCTCATAATTATTACAGGGGTTAGCAAACTATGGCTTCTCGGCCAAATCCAGCACACTACTTATTTTTGTAAATAAAGTTTTACTGAGACACAGGCACGTTTTCTTCCTTTATGTACTTTCCATGGCTACTTTCATAATGTAATGACAGAAAAAGCAGTTGCAGCAGACTGCAAAGCCTAAAATATTTGCAACTGGCCCTTTATAAAAAAACGGTTTCCAACCTCTGATATAGATAATTATTAAACATATATAATACAAATTACATTTTAAATTTGTTTTGAAGTGAAAAAAATATATACAAAAGTAAAATTATACATCAACAGTAACAAATTTACCATACAAAGAAAACAAAAAAAGTCCCAGAAGACATTTTATCTAGCTTGGATTCAGATAAAAAGTTTCATCCTACTATAACATAAAGAAGACATATACATGGAATGGTTATATTCAAAAGTACATACATAACTGCCATGGAACTAACTGTTAACTTAAAAACGGTTAATTTTAGGTCATGTGAGTTTTACCTCAATAAATTATATTTTAAATAAGAGTATATACAGTATTTTACAGTTTCTACCTTTAAGTGGGCCACATCATAGCATAGTTGTTAAATATGTAAGTTACATCTTACCTAATAATGTGGTTTCTCCAAAATCTCTTAGATCATCTCAGACCCTTGTGTATATTTCTTCTTTGCCAGTAGATGGAGACAACACCACTGAAAGTTTAAAAGACATCATTCCCTGTTTAAAGGGAGCTTGCTGGTCTGAAAACTGGGGGAACCCTAACCCAAAGATTTCTTCAGTTAATTTTTAAAGGGTAGACAGAATGGCTAAGCCAAAACCAGAAATCCAAGGAAATGTACCCAATGTTAACAATGGATAGCCTCAAAAATTTACTACAGAAGAACTAAACTCTATCTATAACGTAGCAACTCAATCATATTAAAATGCAACCATCTCTACAGCTTATAAGACTCAAACTTCCTGCTCATTGTTCCTGTTTAAGCTAGATCATTTATTTTCAGTTTCAGAAAGTATAACCCAGAATATATAAGAAAAGAGTTCTTTAATTCCAGAGGAAGATGCAGAACATATGTATAGTTTTACAAGTATTAGTCATATGTACTGCTAGAAGCCTTTTATTCAAAATAACACAACTACTCAGATCCGCATGAAATAATAAAGAGTGAATTAAGCTGTAAATAGTAGAAGCAATAGGAAAAAAACTCACTTTTATGGTCATACTGGAAAGAAATACTCATGAAGCAGAAGAATCAAATTTATCTCCTTTCCATGTTTCTTATTTCACTATTAAAAAGTTATATATGAAGAGACCAAATACCACAAGCAAGAAATAAATTTCAAACCTGGAAGATTAAGAAATCATCTAAAAATTATATTATTTACCTATATTTTCAAGTAACAGCTTTCCTTTCCAACTTCAAAGCCCTAACAAATTGCAAAAATACCAAAAAACAGAAAGGAAAAAAAAACTCAACAAGCTTATTGAGCTATAAAGTGAAAAACTGAGATATTGCTATACTACTTATATTGGCCACAAGACTCCTGTCCTAAGCAAGATCATCCTACTATTTGGCAGAAAATGTCTTAAGAAAAAGATACTCCTTAAACCAAATAATAACCAATTAAAACAGAAAAGGAAAATCTTAAAATCCCTCATATTTATGTATATTTGGCTCATTCTCTGATGATGTATCATGAGTAAAATGAGTTTATATAAAAGGGAGGTGAATACAGTATTCAGATATTACCACAGCTACAATACCTACCTACGTCTGACAAAAACTAGAACGAACAATAACTGCTAAAATAAATCCCCTTATAATTCATTAATAAACTATCCTTGAACCACAAACTTCTATTTAACTCTGAAATTTTATGATTCCTGTGAGATAACAACTATCATCTGCCAAGAAAACTACAACCACATTCTAACTACCTATTAAGAGCACATAAACAACCATAAACATCTTTTCATAGTCCACATAGTAAATGACTGGTGGCCTTATTAATTAATCCTTGGATTGGCAGCCTCTTGACAAACAACAAATTTTTTGACCTTTCCCCAAATTTTCAACAACTGTTATGTATGAAGGAAATGCTAATTAAATAACAACTGCCAACAAAGACAGACACTTTGCAGTATTGAAAGTACATTCACTTACATTAATTAATTCAATCTTATGAAAGGAAAATCTTAAAAGTAAAAACTATGACCAACACACATAATCTATAGTGAAATGTTAATAATATGCATATTTTGCACTGTTACCTGTCCATCAGCACAGATGAAGGAGAAATGCACATACCCAAATTCTTTAAGTAATTAGCTAGAAGAGTGTCCTTGAATTCTGTATTAATGTAAAATAGATCTACCAAACTAAAGTTTTATAGACCACATTACTACCACAGGAAATATATGACCAACAAGGAATGAGTTTTCTTTATATTAATTGGATTTTTGAAAAAAACACCAGGTGTTAACCTGGCAAGTTCCTCTTTGGGATCTATGATGTCAGTGCTCCTGCCTCCACCTGCTGGCAAACAGATTATAAAACTAGCAGTGAACATTGGGCAAGAAAAATTAGCATTTGGGGAGTAATACAGTCATTTTATGTGATAACTAATATGATCCTATTTTTGTTAATAAATCATTAAAATACTGATGAAATCCATTAGGAGTTCTACAGAAAAACACATTTAATTTCACATACACGCAAAAAATACTACAAAAGATCTCAGTTCCGAATGTTACCTAACAGGCCAAAAATTACTTAAAAAAATTTTTAATTACCTGATAAATGACATCTTGGAAAAGGACTGGAAAAGTAAGTGCTGCATCTTCTAGTTCATTTAGACTACAGTGCACTAGTGTTTCATCCTTAAAATAAAAAACACACTGAATGAAACAAGATATTAAAAGAAACTTCAAATGAAAAATTTATGTATTTGTGATAAATAACATTTATTTTTTATTTTAGTCTGTATTTAAAGCAGAGGAATGATCAAACTTTATATGTTTGAAAACAAAGATAGGGATCACGAATTCAAATGCTCTAGGGACCATTAAAGTTACCAGTGACTGGACTGGGGGACAGAAAGGAGTGGTACGGAGTGCAGCAAACATCTGAAAGAGGTGGCCTTGGCTCTGCTGCCTGGCTGTGGTTGGGATGGAGTATAGACCCAGGGCGGCCAGAGCTCTGGAGTTTTCTGAAGAAGCCAGAAATCCCTATTTTTATTTTTTATTTTTTATTTTTTTTTGGAGACGGAGCCTCAAGCTATCCCCCTGGGTAGAGTGCCATGGCATCACGCTCACAGCAACCTCCAACTCCTGGGCTCAAGCGAGTCTCCTACCTCAGCCTCCCAAGTAGCTGGGACTACAGGCGCCCGCCACAGCGCCGGCCATTTTTTTGGTTGCAGCCATCATTGTTGTTTGGCGGGCCGGGCTGGGGATTCGAACCCGCCACCTTAGGTGTACGTGGCTGGCGCCTTAGCCGATTGAGCCACAGGCGCCGAGCCGAAATCCCTATTTTTACATGAAACACTTATTAAAGCACCCGCTCATATGTGGAAGTATATATTTATAACACAATTATTGCATGTGTCATAGCAATATGAGAATTTTCTAAAGTCACTGCCTCTTCAGTGTAGCTCTTAGAACAGTAAGCGGCATCAGCATGATCTTAGAACTAATTAGATATGCAAATGTAAATTCCTAGCAATAGACTATGTTTATAGAGAGAGCTGGTTCGTGAAGGGGGGGGTCACTGAAGTGTTGAAGAGGAAGCTCAGCTATGTATGTATAAGCTCTTCAGGTGATGCTGATAACATGCTTAAGTTGGAGAACCACTGCTGCGTTCAGCAGGCACCTGCTTTCACTTAAACCCACATGCATACTAATTTTTTTATAATTGACAAATTCAAGTTTAGAATCTATTACTAAAATATATATATTTATTTGTATAATTCCTTATCCTCCAACTTTACATAAAGCATCTTACTTTAGGTAAAAGTTATTTTAGTATCCCACAAATGTATTTCATATATGTTGTCTGACTAAATAGCAGTCAATGAAAACTTGTTATCTTTAATTACCACATCCTGTTTTCTAATTAAGAGGATAATAAAGTAATCAAGTTCAATCAAAGATAGTATATTTCTCAAATCCTGAATGCTTGAAAAAATCCAGGCTTCCCTTAGTATTAAGTGACAAAATTTTTTAAAAAAATTAAACTGCTAATAACTCCCCCCACAATTTCTAATACATTTAAGTCAATTAAAATGAAATACAAATGTTCATACCTTGTGATTCTATACCTTAATAGCTGGAGTGCTTCTCTCTCTCTCTTTTTTTTTTTTTTTAGAGACAGAGTCTCACTTTCTCACCCTCTGTAGAGTGCTGTGGCATCACAGAGCTCACAGCAACCTCCAGCTCTTAGGCTTAGGTGATTTTCTTGCCTCAGCCTCCCGAGTAGCTGGGACTACAGGCGCCCGCCACAACGCCTGGCTATTTTCTCGTTGCAGTTTGGCCGGGGCTGGGTTTGAACCCACCACCCTTGGTATATGGGGCTGGTGCCCTGCTCACTAAACCATAGGCACCACCCTGGAGTGCTTTTTCTAACCTAATATTAAACTCTGCTGAAGCAAACAGCAGACAATACTCTAGATACACATGATTTTCTTCCTTTAATTTTCGGATAAATACGAGGGCACAACTAGGTTACACTGTTTGCATTTATTCAGTGGAGTCCAAGTTGTAGTTTAGCCCTTCACCCAAGTGGTATGCCAAGTACCCCTACGTGGTGCCCTTTAGGTGAACCAATCCCATTCCCTCCTCCTCTCTCTCCCCCACAGATCGGATTTTATTTATTTTTTAGAGACAAGAGTTTCATTTTGTCGCCCTCGGTAGAGTACCGTAGCATCACAGCTCACAGCAACCTCCAGCTCTTGGGCTTAGGCAATTCTCTTGCCTCAGCGTCCCGAGTAGCTGGGACTACAGGCGCACACCAAAATACCTGGCTATTTTTTTTTGTTGCAGTTTGGCCGGGGCCAGGTTTGAACCCACCACCTCGGTATATGGGGCTGGCGCCCTACTCACTGAGCCACAGGTGCCGCCTAACACAGACTGGATTTTAATTATGTTTTTGTCTCGTGAGCATGGTTTCATAGTAGTATTGAGTATACTGGATACTTGCTTTTCCATTCTTGTGATAATTTTATTAAGGAGAATTCGTCAACTCCATTCAGGTTACTACAAAAGACATAAAGTCTCTATCTTTTTATGGCTGAATAGCATTCCACGGTATACATACACCATACTTTATTAATCCATTCATGGGTTGATGAGCACTTGGGTTAATTTCCTATCTTGGCTATTGTGAACTGACCTGCCATAAAACATTCTAGTGCAAATGTTCTTGTGGTAGAATTATTTTTTTCTTATTTTCTTTTAATAGCAAATTTGACTAAACATTCAAGGTGTTTTCTTTCCTACACCCAAATCACAACTAATCCTATTACTTTATCTACAGACTATTAAATTCTGATCATTCTTTATTTACTTGTATAAAATTATATTTATGGTCAGCCAATTCTTACCTTTCCTTTTCTATTTATACCTTCATACTGGATTCAAAACAATATAGCCAAACTTGATATTATGACAACATTGACTCCTAAAATCAAAATCTGTTATATTGGGCTCTGCAACTGTAGCTTAGTGGTTACAGTGCCAGCCACATACACTGGGGCTGGTGGGTTCGAGCCTGGCCCAGGCCTGCTAAAACAATGACAACTGCAACAACAATAAAAAAAATAGCCAGGCACCTATAGTCCCAGCTACTTGGGAGGCTGAGGAAAGAAAGAGAATTGCCTGAACCCAAGGGTTTGAGGTTGCTATAAGAGCTGCCACAGCACTCTACCAAGGGCGACATAATAAAGACTCTGTCTCAAAAAAAAAAAAAAAAAAAACAACTGTTATATTTTCTCTACTAAGTTGTACATCAAATATTATAACTACTCATAATTAGCTTCAATTATTTTTCCCTCTTTTTATTTACCTTTAGTAAATAACTTAGGACTTCTAGATACTTCTTTTATATCTCTTTGGCTAGGCAAAGAAAGGCTAAGGTGCTAAGCTTTCAAAATACAACTATATATACTAATTAGAAAAAAAAAATTTAAAGGCCAGGTATAGTGTCTCATGCCTGTAATCCTCTGGAAGGCTGAGATGGGAGGATCCATCAAGCTCAGGAGTTAGAGACCAACCTGAGCAAGAGGGAGACTCCATCTCTACTAAATATAGAAAAAATTTGCTGGGCCTTATGGTGGGTACCTATAGCCCCAGTTACTTAAAAGACTGAGGTAAGGAGAATCACTTGAACCCAGGAGTTTGAGGTTGCTGTGAGCTAGGCTGATGCCTTGGCTCTCTAGCCTGTGCAACAGAGTGAGACTGTCTCAAAAATTAAAAAATAGGCTTTTTCATTGAGACAAATTTTGTACACAAACTAAACCACATCTCCAATCATAGAGTACCAGTAGAAAATGCTAAATAATGAAATCTTTTCCAGTAAGATTAAAATATTTTTTTTGTAATATAAAGAAACTGTAGGCAGATGGTAAATGTGTTTACTATGTATTAAATATAGTTGGCAAGAGATAGGAGATATTCATATTTCAAAGCTTTTTCATTAACTAAAACAGGAATTGTTAAACCACATCAAGAGAGCATGTTAAAGGCTCTATTAGTTGGCATTAAGAGATTATACTTTTGGAAACTATTTGTTTTTTTGTTGTTGTTGTTGAGACAGAGCCTCAAGCTGTCCCCCTGGGTAGAGTGCCATGGCATTACAGCTCACAGCAACCTCCAACTCCTGGGGGCTCAAGCGAGTCTCTTGCCTCAGCCGCCCAAGTAGCTGGGACTACAGGCGCCCGCCACAACACCCGGCTATTTTTTGGTTGCAGCATCATTGTTGTTTGGCAGGCCCGGGCTGGGGATTCGAACCTGACACCTTAGGTGTATGTGGCTGGCGCCTTAGCCGGTTGAGCTACAGGCGCCGAGCCGCTTTTGGAAACTATTAATCAAAATTTTAGTGTATTAGACAGTGTGTACAAGTAAGAATAACAAAGGACTATGGTCTTGCATATGGTTAACTCACTGAGACCCAAATTTTGTTTGGTCCTTCAGGGAAATATGATCCTAACAAAAAAAGAAAAAAATCTAAAATAGGCATGATTCTAATAAAATTAAAGTAGAATAATTTTTTAGATTAAAAAAAATACCCACAAAGGCCTCAGGAGCATGAAGAAAAGAAGTCAAAAGTCTAATTTATTCTTAAAAGGTACCTGATCACAGTAGAATTTTCAGGATATATTTAAATTAAGTGTGATGGCCACTCATTCATTTGTATTCTTTTAGGTATTTTGGGTTATTACCTACCTTTATTAAGTTCTGATTGAACATACTTACCAGGTCTAAAACTAGGGAAAATTCAGGTGTGCTTCTTGTTTTCAATGGAAGAGCAGGTTTCCTATTTAACTGTTCTTCTGTCAGTGGTGGAACATGTTTGATGAAATAATAGCTATAAATCAAATTTCAAGAAAATTTCAACATTTCTACTTTATAAATATAAAATATATTATTAATTCAGCCCATTTAAAAATATTAAATTAAATAAAGGAAAGTTAACCCAGTAAGCCAAACATATCAAACATGTAAATAAAAGTGAAAACATGTTTAAGTTAGTATCTCTATAATTCAGTGAATGTTTTAATTCCTACAGGTCACAAGCTCTTGGTAATATACCATTTAGATCCCCCTCCATACAGGTAAAATACTTTCATTATGCTCCCAAAAGAAATGAAAAAACCCAAAAACTCAAACTCACGGGTCAAATACTTCCCAGTCTTCTTCATAGGTGGCCTCTGCGTGGGTTGATGAATAACCACTATCTGGAGTTACTGGTGCTATTTAATAAAGTGAAAAATATAATGTTAATATTAATTAATGACTCATGAAATACACATTGTTACTGCTTCTATATGAGATCTTCCTGAAGCCCTCTGTACTTCAGGTTAAAGATAGAAATAATCTGTAAATAATTTGCAAACATCATGAGAAACAAATTTATTAACATAGATCTAACTCTAGATCAAAGGGAGAACTAAACACTACAGACAAAATGGCAAACCAGGTCCTGGTTAGTAGAATTAAGATCCTTAGAAAAAATTTACTACTTATTACTCAAAAAATACTCCATAAAAATTCAATTTCTAGCAAATGGTGTTTATATATGGTACTCTTATAATGACTTGTACATAAAAGCATTCAATAAATGTGTGCTGACAATAAATCCAAATGTAGTTTTGTTTTTTTTTTGAGACAGAGCCTTAAGCTATTCCCCTCAGTAGAGTGCCATGGCATCACAGCTCACAGCAACCTCAACTCCTGGGCTCAAGTGAGTCTCCGGCCTTAGCCTCCCAAGTAGCTGG